CTTATTCACTCATTTTAATATATAAATATATATATAAAATGTTAAAAAAAATTCCGTGAAGAACCAATCTAGATTTGAGAAAAAGTTGTTTGAATTTTCAATATTTTATCATAATGATACTTTATATAGTAAAATAAATGCTATAAGGCATTTGCCAGAAATTTATTAATAAGTTCAAAGTATCACTATTGTTTAAGTCTGTCAAGAATTTCTAATACTTATACTAATAAACACTAGACAATTATAAAAAGTTAAAAATCATAATTACAATTTATGTGTTCCTAGGTGATGTTAGACATGGTAGATTATTTATTAGTATTATTAGTAATTAGATTACTTTAATAGATTTGCTCCATCTACATAAGATGAAATGAATATAATAAATAGATTTCCTGTATGATAGTTTGAATCTATTAGTAATAACTTTTAAAATTGTAATATTTTTAAGTCTAGTATTTATTTTCAATTTTAGATGGTTTTTACCAACTAAAAGAGGGTGGTGTAATGTATTTTAATTTTCTTTTTTTAATATGCATAGCTGAAACTCTATAAATTTAATTCTATTGTTCAAATTATTTATTTATGAATTGAAAATAAATCCTTTTTTTTTCTAGTTTAATTTCTATTTCAATAATGCTATTCAAACATTCTAACCATGCCACTTTTTATTTTTTTAGATCGCTAAAGCAAAGTAGCCCCAAAGTGATGTTTCTAAGTCATCAACATCATCAATTAATTTGAGTATATATTATGATCCTTCAATTTAATATTAGTTGTTGTGATTGGCATTTCATTTTTGCAAGACTTGGCAAAACATCAGCACAAACTCTTTTCAGCATAGGAGTATCATCTCCAAAAAATTATTTAAATAGATCCCATATTTTTAGTTTGAATAATAAAAAAATTAAAGAGAATCCTTTTAAGAAAAATAAAATAAATAATAAAGAATTACATCTACAATCCTTTCCAACTAAACTCAATGCTTTTTAACTGACCCTAATTTAAGTAATCAGTATAAGATAATTCAAAATTAACGATATTTTTGACTTATGGTTGTAGATAATAAATTTATAATAAAATAATTAATAGTAATATAACATAAACGATATAATCAGATAGTTAGATGAATAATAATATAATAATACTTATATTAATTAAGTAAATTAAAAAAGCTTCTAAATTTAAAAAATTATTATAAACATATAAATTTTTAATATACAATATTAAACTCTATTGATATCCTAGTAAAAATATCATCAAGTAATTTTAATATATCTTTGTGAAAGAGAAAAAATTTGAAAAAAGATTTCAGAAAGAAGTTTTCTATGATAATGAATGAGAATGCATTAATTTTTTAATCATCAGTGTTATGTAAATCATGAATTTTATTTTTAATTTGATAATCAATCAATTTTTTTAATTATTGTAGATAATAAGGAAAGTTTGCTTATAACCTTAAAAGGATTATTGGTTACATTCCCATAATCAGGTTAACATTCTGAAAGTTTCAGATCAGGAGTATTTTTGATAATCTCAAATATTCTTAAAAGAACTTTTTCCCTTATAATTGCCATTTCGTTATAAAATGAGAGCAAAATATAGGAAATGAGGCTCTAAATTAAATTTATATATAGCCACACTCTACTTAAAATTCGAATAAATAAAATTAATCTTTTTAAACAAGATGTATTATGTGAAAATTGATAAGCTCTTTATTAGAATGCTAACATATTATTTTCAGAAAGAGTATATTTAATCCACTCTTCTTTCTGTTGAATGCATTTTTATGTTATCATATACAATTATTCGATTGTGTAATTGATGAATTTAAATTTTATCATCAAAACTAGATTATTAGCATAACCAAGAAATTTAACTTCAAAATCAAATTTTGAGAACAGATTTTTCAAGAATTCATTGAGATATTTGATGAATTCCATTACTAAAGTAAAATATTTCAGGTGTGTTTTAGGAACTGATAATGATGAATTATTGAAACTTTTTGTTAACAATAACAAAAAACATTTATTTTATAAAAATCCCTTTTCAAATTTATTAGATAAAAGTCTATTAAATAAAATCTAATATAATAATATTAGTAAACTCTGCTTCAATTATAAAATAAGTTGAGGTCTATACCATCAATTCAAGGTATTTACCTAACAGATTTCCAAAAATAAATATTTTTTAAATTCATGTTGTCTATTATACTAGTAAAGCTTATCAAAATTTTTTATTTTTATCCATATTATTATTATTAATTGGATATCATATAGGCATATATATTTATGTATGATTTTCATCTCATCAATTATTAAAAAAAATTCTCAGAGAACTTATAAATTAAAATACTGACAATCCTTAATTTAATGAATTTTTTAACACTTATTTAATTTTCAGCAATTTAATTAATATGCACGACTTTATAGAAACAACCTAAATTAAAGTAAAGTAAAAAATCTTTAGTATCATCAATTTAGTTCAAAAATATTGAAATCTTAAAGTATATTTTTATATAATTAATATCTCAAGTAGGAAAATATTTTAAAATGTTACAATTTAAAAAAGGATATTAAACAATTTGATTATCTTTTTTTATATATTTTATACGGCATTTAAGAATATTTCTAGAAATTTAATTCATAAATTAAGAATTCTAATTTAAGGTAAAACTACTATTTATGGAACAAACTAATATTTTCAAATTAAGTGAACATAAAGATGTAGTTTGAGAAGTTTAAGAATCATTTAAATGCTCAAAGGGAAATAAAGGAGAATAAATTGAAGTTGGAGATAGAGAAGATGAACATAAAGTTTAAAATAAAAAGCTGTTGAAATTATTGAATATTAGATGATTTTCTTATTGCATGGAAAGATAAAGAGTAAAATCTATTTGTCATTTTTTGTTTCATGTAAGCAAATTTAGTTCCTGAAATAAATCTATTCAAGTTAATAATTTAAAACTGCATCTGCTCTAAATATATCATATTTGTTATCATCAGGTTAAATTTATAAGTCAAACTAGCTGATTATTTTATATCCCTATACATAACATTTTTTTTTAAAGTAAATAGCAATAACACATTAGAATGACAATTTAATTTTAAATTTACAAGGATTTAGGCTACTAAATAATTAAAAAAAAGTTCTTTTGACAGAAAATAAATCCATTATTAGATAATAATTTATATCTTCCAAAAATTATTTCTTTTCTGTTAACAAAAGCTTGATTGTTTAGCAGATTATTAATTTAAATCTACTAAATTGTTGATTCATTTTTTTGATCACATTTAGCATCTTCGAATTTGATTTTATTAAAAGCACTTTTAGCAAACTTACCTTTTCCTGATATTTATAAAGAGATGTTAAAATCTTTTACTTTAGAAAAAAATATTCTTCCATAAAGAAATTCTTTTAAGTTTTATACTTAATCTGTTCTATATATTTAATATTATTAAAGTATGTTTTTAACAGCAATAAGTAAACATTAGGAAAATTAAAGAATATTTAAATTTTCCTTTATATACCAGCCGCTTAATAATATCATCTTGATTGTGCTCATTATATATTAAAATATTTGATAAATTAAAAATATTTCCATTATTTCATTTTATGAATTATTTTACTTTAAATCATTATAGATGATTCAGAATACAATGACAGAGTTTCAATAAAAACTGAATGAATTGCTTAAATAGAATTAACTTTTCAAAAAGTTAAATCAAATGAAGTCAATTTTCAATTAATCAAATTAAATGGAATTTTTAAATTATTAAATTAATAATTCAAGATTGCTTTAAATTATTAGATTAGTACTTTAATGGGGGCAGCTTAATTTTTTATTAACAATTTAATAAGTTAATATATTATCAAATCAAATTGCAGTAGTGCGTTTAAAATTTGATCAAAAAGATATTAAAAAATCTACACTAATATCATGATGAATGACTTGTAAAGCTTCATAAATGATCAATAAACCCATATAAATTAAAAAATATTCATTTAAAAAATTTACAAAGGATTTTTTCAGAACTTAGAACTAGCAAAATCTTACTTACTAAATCAAATATAAATAAATTGTTATTAAATGTGGATCCTTATTTTTTTGCCAGTATGAGTAATAATAATAATAATTTGTTAAATGATTAAGAAAAATAATAAAAGAGAAAATTGATTATTATATTTTGATATTATTCAATGAACAATTAGACTGAACCAAAATTAAAAAAAGAAAGTTCCCTGATTAAGTGAGGTACTCAATCGTTAAACGGACAGAAGAAACCTTAATCATGCTTGAATTGACAAGCAGTATAAAATTCAGAGGCAGAAGAACAAAAATAAGTTGACTATATCTTAAAATTTAATTTATCATTTTGAACTTCCATAAAAGTATTTTCTGAAGGATACTTTCAACTTTATATAATGCAGAAAAATTACAATCATTCTTGAATTGATCATAAAAAACATTAATAATTATTGGTATCTCAGAAGAAGATCAGTAAATTTTTAATATTCTCTAGGTAATTTTGAAGTAAAAAACTCAATCAATAAGGAGCTGGATAATTTTTTATTAGTAATTTTATAGTTTAAGATATTGGATCTAAAAGACTTAGTACCATTTTTATTTTAATCTAAAATAACGATAAAATTGTCCAAAAAAACATCTTAAATTTTAGAATGCTTAAAATTTCATTATAACCAATAAAATTGATGAAATAATTATAGAAAAAATAAATTTATGTTAGAGATTCATTAAATATTTATTGTAGTTTCAATAAAAAACCTTTAAACATAAAGAAAGATTCATTAACTTAACAAAATTGACTACACTAGTTAAAGATAATTGTTTTAATTGTTTTATAGGAAGAATATAAATAAAAAGAGTAGGTTATTAATCCTTAATTGTTTGTGAATCAATTACAAAAATAAAAACCAAAAAGCGTTGCACAACTTGTTTGGTTACAAAATCTTTTTCGGATATAGAATAGCCTTTAATAATTAATAAATAATTAATCTCTAAAATTAATTTAAAAGCTTTAAAAATCAGATAATTAAAATAATCAAATAATTATAATTAAGCTAAGTACTCAAAAATAATTAATGATAGATAT